AGCTTTTGGTGAATGCCATGGCTGGTAGCCATGAAAACGAAACATTTCAAGTGAAACTGCTGGCAAGAATAGGTTGCACCTAAATTACTGAACACATTATCTTTCTGCTGCTTGATGCAGATCAGCAACAGTCTAAAGACAGAAGAGAGTGTAGAAGAGCAAAGGAAAGGGGAAGAAATGAAGGCAGCAAGAAGCGATGACAGCAGCACTAAGTTGTCTTAAGATAGAGCCAGAAAGATTACAAGAGTCAGAGAAGTAAGAGGGCAGGGATACCCTGCCTGGTTTTGTAGAAGATGCTAAACATTTATGCTCCTCAGAAGAGAGAAAAATCAAAAGCAGGCAGCTATTAGTTGTCTAGAGGGAAATATTCAACACATACAGTCTTTTCTGAAGTAAAAGGAGGGGTCAGATTGCATAACCAACCCACCAAAGTGTGTCAGAGCCCATCCTTTTGCTGGTAAGGTCATGTCCTTGAGCACATGAACTGGAAATTCACTACCAACAGCTCGCCTCTCCCAAGAAGACATCTGAGATGAGAGGTCGCTCTTTCACAAAGAGCCACGGAGGAACTTCCCATCTCTGAAATGGAGGCTGTGACACCCACCCCCCCAAAACACAGGACAACTTGAACTTCTGAGTTCCTGCACACTGTAAGCAGCCTGGTCTACACCCAGCTGCAGTTGCTCGACCAGGCAACAAGCAGGGAATTTTTAGAAAAATTAAGTCTGTTCTGGCTCTTGTGCAAATCTGTATTTTTTTAAAAACATAGTTTATAATACTTCAAATGCCAACCATTTGTTTCTATGGACTGTACTGAGACTCTTTTATGGAAGCTAAGCAGCATTCGCATGGCATAAAAAATAGCACTAGTTAAAAATCAGTAACCTTAAGCTATTTAGAGGAAAAAAAGGGCAATCAATGCTCCATTTGTTCAAGTATGTTCTGAGTATTTTTAGGTACCTATCCATCACAACATATTAAATATTACTTAGCTCTCCAGAGTGAAACTTTTCAAATTAACACCACCCACATGAAAATGCTTTTGCAAACAGTAACATACTGTGCTCTCATTATACATTGTGTCACCTTATTCATACTCAAATACCTATTGTGAAGGATCCAAAAAGGGAAGCAATCGTATTTTTCTAGGCCTGAGCAGAAGGCTCACCTTTCTCTGGGCACGATCAATGCTGGATCCTGCATGATAAAGGCACCTGAGCATTCTCATGCCCAGCAGCGCAGCGCTGCAACTGGGCGGAGCGGGCCACGACACCACCACACCAGCAGGGCGCTGAAAATGTATACACCCATGCTCTGCAGTGCTCTTCCTATACTTAGCTTCTCCTGATTTATTTAGCATACATTATGAAATCCCATTAGTTTTAACTGCTCTGTTGTGACAGGTATATTTTTGGAGTCCCCATCAAACTAACTAGCATATATGCAGGCTTCAATCAATGACGCTGAGGTTCATTAATAATATATTCCTCCATCCCTTTTTTAATAAAAGGGGGAAAAAAAAAGGCCTGAGAAGTATGCCAGATGTTGCAAGTCTGCCCCATAGAAGAATGTCTCTGATGAATTCCAATTTTATTATTTACATGAGCAAAATCTTTGTTCAAAACAATTTACAAACCTCTTATGAGTTAAGGAAAAAAGCAATAAAAGAAAAATGTCAAACAAAGGGATTTGCTTAGCTGTAAAACGGAGGCTCTCTCTGCTCCTATTATTTTTCATTTCAATTATTTTTCAGAAAGGTTAAATATAAAGGTAGTCCTGTCACGTCACTTCAGGAGGCTGCTGCATTTCTGATCAGCACAAAACTCTTTGCCCAGGCAGAAGCAGCCTTCTTCATCCCTGCAGGCAAACCACATTCCTCAAGGAAAAGATGACTCCCAGCCCATTCTTGAGAAGAACTCTGGCTGCCTCTTACTCTTAATGAAAAAGGTCTCCCCTTAAACATATGAGTTGGTTGCTAGAAGTTCGATGTAACAGAAGCAAACAAGAAGTGACAGCCGCCTAATATTAATAGGGACAGGCACACTGTGTCCTTCTTAGAAGGGAAGCACAATTTCCTTTTACAGCTTCATACAACTGAGGATCACGGTTGCCCAGCAAGCTTTACACATCAATTATATTACGGCTCCATTACCTGCTCTGCAGCACAGCTTCACGGGGAGATCACGTAAAAGCACTAATGTACAACTTTCACCTTTTTAGGACTTAAATAAGATGCAGTTACATCAAAATCTATCTTCTGAAAAAGGTATCTTTAAATGAAAAGTTACTGTAACACCTCGTATTAGCATGCGCTTGGGGCAAAGCAACCCTAGTCTGCACGCAAGGCAGCAGGCACCTCTGGGATGCTCCAAGGACCCTCCTCAAGGATGAGCTGCTACGTTTTCTGCAAAGACTCCCAGAGGAGTGGGCTGAGGTTCTACCTGCCTGGGATTATATGGTATTGCCAGCCTCCAAAATTAAGGAGTTTATCTTCTCGCTTTTGTCTGTAGTGCCTCGCTTCCAGCTTTTGTGCCTTCACCCTAGGCTGTGGCCATGTTTTCAAGCTTTTCTTTGGAATTAGGAGGGGAGGAAAGGAAAGTGAGTTGAGATAAATCTATTCATTTCAAAACTGCATCCTTGGCTGGGCTGGCCTTGAATGGGAGGCGTGTATCCAAAATGCTCAGTGGTTCACGGTTAACAGTAAAATAGTGCAAACTGGCAAGACTCCACACATTAATTACCCTTTCTGGAGCTCTGATTTCAA